CCAGTGAAAGAGCAAATGTGCAAGTTGGCAGTACACTCCTCCTCTTCCACTGCAATGACATACGGACCCCACTGCAAGTTATGTTATCTTTAGCATCCTTGTGACGTTACGGTTTTGTAATTCTCAGTAAGTCACAATCAGATTAACCTCCCAGTGAGGTGTCCCAGCTACCTCCTTGCGCTAGCGCTGAAGGAATTTGAGCTCAGCAAAGACCCTCCTGAGGCTCCAATCCAGACACTCACCATGGGACCAGCTTGCCACATTTTCTCCTCGGGCTTTTGCTGACCAGGAAGCCAATAACAGGGTCAGTAACCGCATCCCAGGCTCTTCCAAGGAAAATGATCAGAGAGGCATGGAATGGCTCCAGCTGGGGAGAAACGGAAACCACAGCTTGAAAGGGAAAGAAGTCCTGGCGAAAAGCTGCGAGCAGTCAGCACGATGCAGCTCGCACTAGCCAACGTTTCATCTGCATCCCCTGGAGACCACTCCAAGTGTTGAAATGGCCCAGAAACGTCTCCTGCATGCCCACCGAGAATATTTACATGATGCGATTTTGATCCAGTTTGAACGCCTAATTCTGATGAGCATTTCCAAGGGCTTTGGCCACCCACCAAACCCAACCCTTGCCCCAATATGCTGAGCTTATGCTAAGCCCCTTTGCAGTTAACCCCATCTCACGCGGCCGCTCACCTGCACAACATCCAAGAGGAAGATTTGGAGGAAAAACCCAAGGGCGTTGCCTGTCATCTGGTAGGGAATGCCCCCAACAGCATAGCAAACCTTTCTGCAGAGCGGCAGTCCTGGCTTGTCCTGCAGCCGAGACACCAGGGAACAAGCCCACCTGAGAAACGGTACGCACTTCTGGCTGACAGCTAACCTCCAGCCGCTGCTTATCCCATCTGCTGGGTTCTCCGAGGCCCATTTAAACCCTGAGTCATGTCATAACCTCCCACGCACCCACCCACAACACACATACCTATCCTTTGGCTGGACCATCGCTCCACATGATACCCACAAGCAAGGCGGACATGGCAGTTGGGGTGCTGTAGGGTGCTTCCCCATCTGCTGGTAATCTTGGTGGGTCAGGACGCGGTGCTTCCTGCGCACAACCTGCCCTCGGGCAGCAGCCTGCCTCGTGAGATCCTGCTCAGCAGAGTTTCATACTCTTCATAAGCCTTCAGGGTCTCTTGCACAGCAGCCCTGAGGGGCAGGGCTCTCTCCTCGCTCCAGCCCGCCAGTCCACATCCACTCCTCCACCAGTCAAAGCCCCAAAGCAAGAGCTGATCAGCGGGCATCTGTCTCGCTTGCTTGTCTTGGGCTTGTCTTGTCACCAGGGCCACATCCCTGGTGTTTCACCTTGATTCTCCTCGGGGGCATGTTTGCATGAGATCACAGGCTGCTAACGTAAATGAGATACGTATCTAATGCCAGACCCAGTGCTATCTGCTGAGCTGGTCTAACATTGTCCTTTCCTATTCTATCGAGCCACAATCCAGTGGTTCAAGTTCTTTAATATTAAAAAGTACAAACTGCATCAGGCTTAAAGTGACTGTAACAGAGACAGTCCGAGGAGAGAGACTGCAAAGGCCAGAGCCCAGGGGATTTCTCTAGATCAACAGGGAAAGCACAAGGAACATTTCAGCACGCAGGAAAAGGGCTGATGGCAAAGCCTCTATTTTATTTGGATCTGGTTAGCTTCAGTAAATACCGTACCAAGCATCAAGTATCTGGCAAGTTCCCAGAGGCAACCTACAGCACTGACTTCCTCCCAGCCCCAAAATGAACTTGCTGTCTAGCGTGACACATCTCTGCATCACACAAGACCGGGAGTATACTGCAGAATGCAGGGTGAGACCACATAGAAAGCCAACGGCCCGTTCGAGCTTGGCTTTCCACTTGGCTGAAGCAGCACACGGCCTTGGCCCGCAGCTCGGCTCTCCTATGGACAGACCATTGCTAAAGGTCGTTTCTGTTGGGATAGGGCGAGCAGTGGTGGGGTCGCAATGCAGATGCCTGGAGACCAGGCCTGACCTCCCATCTCAGCACAGGCTGCCTTGGATGATGCTCAGGGCTCAAATTCCCACTTGCCCTCATTTCTCGTGGTCCGGCCCACGTTTCGGCTTTCCCCGATCGCTGAGCAGCTCCAGCGCAGCTCAGAGTGCGGCAGGCAGGTTGCTGTCCTGCACCCAAAAAATCAAAAAATACACAGCCCTTTCTGGAAAGATGTGGAAGGCTCCCCTGCTCGCACAGGGCAGATGGCCATCACAGGCGGCAGGCCTGGTCCAGACATGGCTATAAAAGGCTACGAGCTCCTCCAGCAAGAGCTCTGCAGAAGAGCAGAGAGTGGAGGGATGAACGCTTGGCACGGGGCAGCAGTGCAAGAGGCCAGGCTGAGGGACAGACTGCAGGGTCACATCGACAGCTGGGTAACAGGGAAATCAAGTCAGGGATCACTTCAAATTCCCACTTGCCCTCATTTCTCGTGGGGTGACGGGGCAACCTGCCGGTTGCCAGCCTGTTTGGGCTGGAGATGGCTTGCTGTGCCACTAACGTCAGTCATGCTGACAGCCACCCTCGAGGGATGACAGACCTTCATTGTAACGGTACTAGGGAGCAGCTTCCAAAAACACAGGCACAATCCCAAAAAGCAGCATTCCAGAAGGCACTGAGCGTGTTTCCCCTCATGCAGCAATAAGCAATAACTCCTCCACAGCCCACACCACAGAAAAAGCACTAATGCTGCTGTGCCCGCCAGGCTGGAGGGCCCAGCCTCTTCCTGCACACTCAGGGGAGCAGAGCGCCTGCTTTCCCCGTGCCAGGTAACCTCAGCAGCCTCCTCGTGCCTCTCAGCTTCTGGTCCCAGTTTACTTTCTGCCTTTTAAAGCACACGGTGAGAGTCAGGTCCCTTGTATTTAAAATTGCAGACCAACCTTGTCCCGCAGGGATGGCTGAAGCATTAGGTTTGCAGCACCGCTGAGGAGCACTTACTCATACAACATCTTGTTTCCACAGCAGTTCTGTTTCTAAATTACAAAGGCGTTTCTCTCGGCTGTAAGGTTTTGTGGCAGCTTTTGTTCCCTTTATGCTCTCAGCAGGTAGGACAGCGCTCTGCACGTCTCTGCCCATTTCACTTGAAAGTCAGCAACAACAACACAACACAGCGCCTTGCTTTAACAATGTGTTCTCGAGCTTGAGTCATAAACACTTCGAAACACCCCCACAGCCTGTGGCTGCTCGATCCGGGTAGGCTCTGCGTGGGTGTGCGCAGTCCCGAGGGTTAGTGTGCACGTGTGAAATGCATTTCTGCGTGTGAGAAAGAAGCACCCCAGGACACTGATCTTACCTCTCTGTGGACCACTCTCCTTTGTGGGAGAGCTCCTTCTTGGTTTAACCTGTGCAGCTCAGCATCTTCGGGACCACCTGGAAGCATGACTGCAGACACGACCGTGTCCTTCAGCGGCATGTGGTGAGGAAGCAGAAGCTTCCTCGCCCAGGGTGAGGAAGAAGTTGCCTCGTATGTCAAAGAGCGTGCCGCAGGCGCAGATCAGAACTGGATGGAGATTTAACAAGTGAAGATACATCATCTGTGGGGCCCCACGGGGAGCTGATGGAGGGGAAATAACCAGCCCTGAGGGAGGAGCGTGGCCAGACCCTGCCCATGGAGGCAGGAAACCTGGCAGGGCTCACAGTGCGGCATGTACTCGGGGCAGTAGCTCCCAGGCTCTCTGCGGTCAAGTGGAGAAATCCAGTGCTCTTCAAAGGTCAAGCTGGGTCCAGCACTTCCTCCCCATCCCAGGGCTGCTGCCACACTGAGATCTTAGGCGTGCAGAGAAGTCCTTTGTCTGAGTTCCAGACCACCACAGGAACACGCTCGAGCCACCCCGGGACTCCTGCCTCAGCACCTGCAACCACCAGCTGCAAAAAACCAGTGTGCAAAACCCAGAGCGGGCAACAAAGTGGCTGGAGCAGCCAGGGAGAGGGCAGCGGGAATAGGCAGGTTCTTGCCCCAGGTCACCTCCTGACAAAGCCCCTCTCTTCTCCCAAGGCAGTCCAGGAAGACCAGGAGCCCAGCTCCGGCTCCTTATTAGGGGCTGTGGAAACCCCCTGCCCCTTTGCTTTGCCCTCTCCTTAATGGGTGCAAGGTGTTGGCACTGCCCTAGCCCAGGACAACGTCACAGAGCGTAGGAAGCATGGGATACATTTTCCTTTCTCTATTCAGTGAGATCTGTAGTTATCAACCTCTTTCAGTCTGTGAGCTCCTGAGAGATCTCCCATGGCAATGCAGACCTCACACAGTATGTTTTAGCCTGGTGACAAGAAACGTGCTTTTCTTAGTCCCCTTTCACAGACCCTTCATCGCCCATAGAGCCCAGCAGTCTCGGTATCGCAAACCAAAAATTACTCTTACATTAAGAGCGGTAGGAGCCCAGTTACTCAGCACTGGCTGTGTGGGAGCAGCCGAGTTCCCAAGGCAGCAGTGCTCACAGCACGCAGCCAGTCACCGTTACAAGCACTTGGCAAAGCAAAGGCAGAGGGAGAAATCGGCTTCAGAGGACAGAAGGCACACAGCAAAAGGCTGGCAGGAAAGGGATCGCACTGCCACTCTGCCCGCTAATCATCTGTTTGGCACGTCTAGTCTCATCAGGCAGCTCTTCAAAAACAGGTTTCTCTAGCTAGATCAAACTCAGTCTCCAAGACTGAACTTCTATGCAGCAGCCGGGGCAGAAGAACACAGGCAAAACCCTCTCCCTGCTCTCCTCCCAGGTTACCAAGAGCCACTGGGAGCATTAAATCCATGTTAGTGTGTCTGTACCACCACCCATACCCAAGGGGAACGCAAGCACCCATTCTGCAAGGTTCATCACAACGCTGTTAGAAAAATGTGTCATCTTCAGCTCAGCCTTGCCTTGTCCAGTGGGGGTTAATCTAAAAAAACCCTGAATTTTGCAGGCTGAGTCAGAACTTGGTTCATAAGCCACAGTACAACTGAGTCAGTGGCATCTCTCTTCACTGCGATTTTACTGACATCCCAGATAATAAATATCACTCACGCTGGACCACAGCCAGTGCAGTGGGAGCCAAGTCCCTGTCTCCCACCAGCATATCTAAGCATACATCTTTATAAGAAAGCAAAAAACATCTCTCCCCACCCAAGAGGAAAGGAGAAACTCAAAAGGAAATATAAAAACCCAATTTATTTTTTTTTCTAGGCTATTTTGTACCCACTCACCACACACAATTACATTTGGACAGACACAAGTTACCTTTGGAAATTGTAGACAGCACTTAATCCTCTGGCTCTTTGCCACTCACTTACCCTCCAGGTACAAATAGCTGCATTTTCTGCTCACAGACTAGAAAGCCAACAGATGACCAACAGTTACCTCCCAGAGTAGCTGCGTAGCTCTCGCTCCCTGGCTAGTTCAGTGCACAATTATCTTCAAGTCGGGAAAGCTTTATTTCTGCTCCTCTCAGATCCTCCCAAAGCCTTTTGTCATGTTGCTCAGTGCCTTACAGAAGACAGCATCACCCGTTGGGTCTAGAGAGGATGTCACGATTGCTGGTGCAGCATGGGGAGCTCTCAGCCAGCCTCTGCGTGACAGCGGGGTCCAGCTTTGTGCTGGAAAGGCAGATTTTGGTGAAAAGCACCAATCTCACCGTTAATCACTGCTATACACTGGGCTACTTGCTGCAAGCAATGAGCTTTCTAATAACACCACGTGCCAAGGCCTGAAATCGAACCAAACCAGCTCGCCGTACACTGCGCACACCAAGGGTCTGGAGCAAAAGGATGATGGCTCTTCCATCGCTACGCTCATCTTTTGCTATCAGTTGCTTAGAAATAGGTTTTGAAAGAATAGGGAAAGCACTCAGCAACACTGCAGCTACACCCATTTTTCTGTTGCACAAATACTCAACAAAAGGCTCAGAGAAGCCAAAGCTCTGCAATTTAAGAAACAAGGTCATGTTGGAGTTTACTCACTGCAAAGGAAAGGTCCCTTCCCCAGAACCCCCTTCTCCACTGCAGAAGCATGAGATCTTATCTCTCAAGGCAGCCCAGGGCCCAGGAATGCACGATACAAACAACTCCAATCCAAGCCACGCTAGCTGAACAGCTTTTCTCAGGGCACTATGACCTAGAGACGGGCTGCTCAGGCAAGGGAGTCCCATTGAAAAAAAAAAAAAAAAAGAAGCCTAAAGCCAGCAAATGGGAATTTTCTGGCACAGAAGCAAGTGGCAGCATTTGGATACGTTCCACTAGCAAGTCCTCTGAAGGTTTACCCCTCCTTGACTGCTCTAAGCATGGCCAGCGGCTCTCATGTTCCCCTTAGCACAGCTGCCTTCTCTCGGTGGAACAGGAGTCATGACTTCAACAGCCACCAAGATGGATGAGACAGGAGAAGAGCTGTTGCTACTGCAGGCCCTGTGAGCCAACAAAGAGTTAATTTAATGAGGAGTCATGAAATGTACCTGAGTAAATAAGAACATCTGGAATCTATTCAGGAACTCCCAGCGCTGGGACAGACAGGCTCAGTGCAGACAAGACAGAACAGCAAATAAGATAAGCATTTAGGAATGTAGTAAGTCAGAAAATGATAAATTAGTAAATCGAGAGGTGCTTGACACAGGAGCTGTTCAACTGCCAAAGATGTGGGCCTGTTGCATAATTAGTATTATACTACCCTCTGTAGAAGTGTGTAATTGGGAAACATGGGACTCATTTGGAAAAACTTTTGCTAACAGGTAACTAGAAAGGATTTCTCTTCCCGTTTCTGTTGAAAAAAAAAAGCTGACAGCCAGCCTGATCACCTGGCCAGCAGCTGCAATAAGCTGCTGCCTTGGTTTAGACAGTGTGCGTTTGCTTACTTCTTCCATCAGTATTGCCGTAGGAGCCCAGTTAGCACTTTGGCAGCAGCCAACATGTGAAAGTCCCCAAGCAGTCTGCAGCGACACACACTCCACCAGCTCCCAGAGCCGCTCACCGCCATCGTGCCCTGCTGTGTATGTTTACGCCACGTGGTACAGCACGTGCATTATTTACCAGAGCAAGAAGGAGACTTGCAGCTGAACTCTCAGCAGACATCAACTACCTTTAGGCTTTCTTCCTTCCTAAAGTAAGGTGAAACTGCCTAAAACACACCACAAAAGCTGGCAGGGCGATCATGCCTCGTTAACAAGGACTGCAGGTGAGGAGACCCAGCTCTGCACGATTCAGCAAGTGAGTGTATGCGCAATGGCTAACTCCCTTTACACCAGGCAGAGCACCGATGCGTACGTTCATTGCCACTGCACCTGAAGGACAGGTACAAAGCACGCAGCTCGGAGAAGTCTGGTCTGAGTCTCGAAGTGCGAGAGGAGCTAAAGGCTTTTATTTCATCGGGGATGCGGCTGGGTCGCCAGGAAAGCACACCTGGCAGCGGGCACGGCTGAGAACCGCGGGCTCCGGCTTCCCAGCTCTGCCTCGAGTGACTGTCAGACACTCTTCCTTGGATGATGCCAGGTGTTCACCATACAAGCGCCAATGGAAACCCACAACCTGGTAAGAAAAACAACTTTGCTGCTTAATTAAATCCGTCATTTAAAATTACCGGTCTCCATCTATAAACATTCTGGTTCACCAACAGAAACAAGACCATTTAGAAGCGGTAAGGGGGTAACACTCTCTTGCTTTCAAAATCTAGCAATTCTTCACACAGGCTTACCTAGAACAGCAGACTCCTGAACAGACACCAGCTCCTGCCCAAGGATCTAATGCAGGTATCACAGGTCCTCCCCTCACGGTGGGGGACTTCGAAGAAAGCCATAAGCACCTTGTTTTATGTGACAGCGACACCAATCCCCCAAGCCAGTTTTCCGCTGTAACTACAGAGTCAGAAGAAACATCAACTCAAGGTCCTTCTTCTTGATAACAAAGGATCTGTAAAGCAGCGCTGCTTTCAAAAGAAAACCCTCCTGACTGAACTTCCGAAGAACATCCCAGGAGCAGACTGACATCCTTTTCATCACTCCTCTAAATAAAGACACCAGGGACCTGAAGACCCACCCAAGAAGAAGCCATGGCATGAAGGTCACTTTCTCCTTCTGGAAAGATTTAGCGTTGTCCAGCAATGAGGAGCAAAGACTAAATTAAATATAACTGAGTATAACCAAAGGCAACAAGAAAAAAAAAATTAGGCCAAAATTTAGTGATCCTTTTCTAGCTGCAGGTGTGCCCCCTGAGATTTCTTGCTCCCTATGTCTTGTCACTGCTTGCATTTATCTGCTAGCTGAGCCACCTGAGTTTTGTGCCAAAACAAGCCATTCAGCTAGCTGCTTTGTGCTCTTAGCGTTATTTTACCCAAAGAAGCAGCTGAAGGTACAGCTACGACTAGAAACAGATGTTCCTACACCCGGATCACTGAAAAACTACTTGACCAAAGGCACCAGGACAGCAGAACCTCCTGAGGTAGGCAGACCACTGACCACGCAAGAAACGTGGACAAGGAAACATCCCATGGCAAAAGCAGCATTACAGAGGGGAGGCAAAGTTCCCAGGAAACGGTGCAAAATGCTATCAGAAAACAGGGAACTAAATCTTAGCAAGGAGGACATGTGAAAAGGAAGAAGAGGAAACAATGAACTGCATACAAAGGAAAAAAAAACAAGGAAGTCCTACAATTACCCGCCCGAGGAAGAGAAAACTGTTAAAATTCAGCACTCGGAGAAAAACACTCGGATACAGCGAAAGACATCAGCCGCAGATAGGACAGCACAGTCGCAAAATGGGGCTGTATCTTATCATACAGAAATTGAAAAGAAGCAAGTTTTCACTTTTCAGAAGCACCAGTGCGCGAAAGACCAGGAAGACAGGCAAGACTCCCCCGTGGGGGGAACAATCAGAGAAAAAAAGAAAAATTTCAAAGTGAAACACGTCTCCGGGCAAAGGAGAAAAAGGCACTTCTTCGCAGGCATAAATGTCAGTTTTGGAAAAGCCCAATCTCAGCCTATGAGTCTGTTAGAACAAAGAAATGCAATGATAAAGGAAGGAGATTTTACTAGAAAGCCAAATAAACTCACTAACAACCGTCACAAACTATAGCGGTGTCAGAAACGAGCGTTTCCGTTCCTGCAGGGGCACGTCAAACACCGAAGAGCTGCACCAGTGACAAGGAAGGTGATTTTCTTTACAACATCAAGGTGTCTTTTTCTACCACCACCCCCTTTTTCCTGTTCTGTAATGTTTTATTCCTTCCCCGTTAATTAGCCTGGCTGTCATTTTTGCTTTATAGCTTATTTTATAGCGAAATGTTCCACCAGCTCACAGAAGGAGACAGTTTAATACAGCAGATTGCACGTACGTTGCTTCCAGTTCGTTCCCCGGGCTCTTTTGTCAACTTTGGAAGAAGATAGGCCTATCTTGGTTACTGGAGCACTGAAGCGGTATCACCCAGGCACACTTCAGATAGCCTGGCGGCAGGGCAGAGCTGATCCTGCTCACCAGGAGATAAGGACTGCTCATTACTTCACAAAACAAAAAACAAGAAGAGAATCAGAGGAAGAAGGAGCCGGCAGCGGCGTCCCAGAGGGGCTCACAGACACACAGGAGCACAAGGTGCAGCTCCCCGCAGACAGCTGGCAGAGTTTCTCAGCAGGAGCCTTCGAGGTGGAGAGCGGCTTCTCTGCAGCACTGCCACCCTCCGGCTCAGGGGGAAAATTGGCTTTTCCTGGCAGAGAAGCGCCTCCGAGCCCGGAGCCCCTCTGAATTTAGCACCTTTCTGTCCCCCTGGCAAGGAGAGAGCTGGGAGGAAACCTGGGTGTGAAACTTCCCACCAGCGAGCAGAATCTGCGCGACAAAACCCTCGAGGTCAGCAGCTAGATGAGTTGCTGTCTCGCTGCCAACCCTCATTTAATTTGGGGGCACCAACGTGTCCAGCTCATCCAGCCAAAGACCGCGGACGCCAGCTAGTCGCCACCTCAGTCCTCTGATGCCACCAGCTAACCAAGGCAGAAGCAGGAGACAAATAATTCGTACCCTTTCTGTCAGATAAACTTTCTTTCTGGGTCTAGGGGCACATCCTGGCCAGCACTCTGGAAGATATTGTCCCAGGTCCCCAAAATGGCACGTGTGGAGAAGATGAGGATGCAAGAACTCCTCCGATGAACAATTAAAAACGAGTGACTTCCCACAAGGCAGTTGTGACTGTACTTAGCTCTGAGGGAAATTCCCTTTCTGAATTCTCTCTGTACTGGTTCACACAGATGACTAAGTGGTCATAATATACAACATCAAGTGATGCGGGCAGGCAAACCCCAAGTTCACCTGTCAGAAGAGATCTTTAAAGATGCTGCTGAGATTTTTAGTCTCGTTCAGCTGAAGTCAGCTCAGCACTGGGAAGGCTGCTCGCAGTGCAACCCAAAGCAGTAAGAGTAGACATCCGCATGTGCATCATCCCAAATACGAGAACAGATGGTAGCCATTATTAGAAAGGGTCAAACGCTGTTTTCCTATTTTGCGGGCTTTTAATGGTAATTTTCACAATAATTTACAAATTCGCTGTTACACACATTTTTCATTACTAAATGGATATATAATGTAAGTTAATCCAGCTCTCGGTTGAGAACCTGTTGTAAAAATGCCCTTGCTAAGGTCTGGTATCTACTCCCGCAGTTTTGTATTAACAGGGGCAGCCAAGCGAGTTTCTCATGCTGAACCTGTCCAACCTGCTGGCCCTCCCCCAGCCTGCATGTCCCTACAGCTTGTTCTCTGCTCGCACCAAGGTGAGGACCTGGACGCTTCCGAGTGCCGAGGGGGGTGGACTTACAGCGCAGCAGCCGCAGGGCTCCAGCGTGACTAAGGCGGGAAGCGGACGGTACGCTCCAACCCTTCACCCGGCAGCGATCCAGCCTCTCTCAACGGGATACCGCTGGGTGCAGCGCAGCTCCCAGTTAGCTGGAATCTGGAGCCCCACAGCTCAGCACAGCTGTGAGTTCTGCTCCGAAGCCCAGGGCTAGGATAGCAAGCATGCTGCGGGTCGGTGCAAAGTGCCGTGGCACAACGCTAGATGGCAACTCGTACGCGTGACGCTACACCAGCGCTACCAGTCCCTCATCTCTAAGCGTAACAAATTCACCCGCAGGATTCTGTTCAAAGGAAAGAAAGATACGGACACCTGAGCCCAAAACACAAACAGTGGAACAGACCAAAGCTGGAGAATTCCAGGTGTTCAGCTATGTCAGTCCTCAGCAGAGGAGAGGAAAAAAAAATCAAAGGGTACTACAGCCTTGAGTTTTTCCACCTGAGCTGTTGCCATCTCAACAATTCACCTCTTAAAATAAAACTTGCTTTCCAGTAAGATAGACTCCATTTGCCTTTTACTTTCAGTCACTTCAAGCTGATTCAGCTTTGTGCCTTCTTGGAAAGAAAAAGTCAGCAGCAGGGTTTCTCAGAGAAATGCAATACGGCAAATTAAAACTGCAGCCAGTCTGGACTGCTCGAGAAAGTGCAGGCAGAGCAGGGGGGTACTGCAACGAACGCCCCTAAGAGTTCTGCTGAGGGAAGGAAAGTCAGGACTTTCTCTCCGGAAAAGCCCAAGAAGAGTGTTAAACCGTGCACCTGCACACACACGGAGTTTTTCCCCACACTGAGCAACAGCTGTTTCACAAAGACTTCCCCCGCAATGCTTTTAGTGTAACATTATCCTGACAATCAGCTCACCCATTCTCGTATAGTTTATATTTAACGTGCGAAAATAAAGGGCGTACTTTGCAGCAGTCCCTGGAGGAGAGGGAAGAGCAAAAAGATTGTGATGAGCAGTCAATTGGCAATGGACAGAAACTGCTCCCTGGGAGCTCCCTTCCCCCTTACCTTCCTCCCCTCTAAAGAGGGCAGTAATGCAATCCACAAAGGTAACTGAACTCTCGTGGGAGAACTTGTGGCACAATAGGCTGCAGCTCCTTTCAAAACGGATTCGTTTCGTTTATTTATTTTAAAGTCCACTGATCATCATCACAAAAAAAAAAAAACCCCAACAAAAAAACAAAAACCCCATGGGAAATGCAACTAAAGAGAAAAAAAGTCCAACCAAGACCTAAGAACCCAGAGCTACGAGTAGATGTGAGCCTGTGTTGCACGGCGCAGGTGCACGCACAGGACGGGACGACACATGCGCACTGCAGGCAGGCGTGTGGCGAGAGGTGGGTCCCTTTATGTTAACCGCTGAACAATGACAGCATTGAGCAGGTTGGCTTCCTTCAGGGTTTGGTTCTCGTCAGTCAGCTCTTTATTTGGGAAGGTGGTCATGAGGACGAAACTGGTGGCAGCCATCGCTGGCCGAGCATCTACTATGAAGAGCCGGATGTCACGGATCCTGTCCAAAGGGATCAAACACACAGGGGTGATCCTGTTACTGAACATCCTGTAAAAGCGCGTGGCAACAGCCTAAATTCACCCTTTCCAGAGCATGCAACCCTGCAGTCGCCGCACGTGCTTTTCAGCTAACAGCAGAGGCCACTGCCAGACAATTCTGATTTAACCTACTCCTCCGTAGGCTCCCATTTAGTGAAATAACACAAGCTGCTTTACAGGTTAAAGACCTTCAGAACTTTCAGTTCTTTGACACTGCCCAACTGGAACATCTGTGCTGTCAGGCAGCTATTTGAAATTGAAGGCTTCTGAACCCTTCAAGATGAAGAGATTAACAAATTGCTTGACACTGGCTGCTGTAAGTGACTGAGCTCATCACACACAGCATAATCTAGATGATCTCAACTACCAAGAGCAGCCACAACAGCGACACTGACCTACCCTGCACCCGATCGTAGAAGGTTTTTGTAACTTTTTGCGTCATGCTTGATTCTCTTACAGAAACTGGAGGAACGAGTATAAAGAAATGGCCATGCTCTCGGAGATCAGGTAGGTGAGAAGGACTTCAGGAGGGAAGTCTAACGAAGCAGCAGGGCGTACAAGCCAGCTTTGCTCGTCCAAGGGAACTAAACTGCTCTAAGAGCACCCCTTGGTGCTCCATTCAGCACAGGGAACAGCCCAGAAAAGTCTGAACTGAGAGTCAGAATAACCGAACCAAGTTCCTAATTATCTGACAGTTTCTAAAGCCCTTAGAAGAGATTCCGTTTTTTATAGGTGACATTAAGGAAAGTTCCGCTGATAATACTGAAGCCCCCAGGTGCAGCATTACTGGCTATAATCCACCACTATTTGGAAAGCAAATCCTATCCTTCCAACAGTTAATGACTGCCTTAAAACCCCACAATAATTTTATTCCTCTTCACCTATACAGAAGGATCCCCAGAGCTCCCCTTAGCAGGCTAGCCAGGATTTTAACACCCGCTCCATCTGTGCACAGTTTGCAGCGTCATTCAGGCCTTCCCAGTTAGTAACCTGTGTTTCCTGTTGCGTTTGTACCTGTGATTGTGGTTAAACTTCTGGACCAGACGCCCACCGTCAGCGAGCCGGATTTGGATGTTGGTGACGGGCTCCGACTCATCAATAGCGATGGCAGAACTGGCTTTGGCTTCATTCTCTGCCTGCTGGGCTGGCGAGCTGGTGCCCATCACCTGGGGCGCAGTGCTGAGAACAGGGAGACACAAGGCGAGCTGTTAAAAACCAAACGACTCACCTGGCTGCAGGGTGCCAGGAGTCAGGCAGTGAGCTTATCGCCCGCCGGGCCCAACTACCAGGGCTCCTCGTCAAGAGACGTCAATGCAAGTTGGAAGCGAGAATTTAGGAGTCGGCTAGT